ATATCTATAAATACACTAAAAAGTTTGTTGTCTTCTGTTGGTTATATTTCCAGAAGCCTCCTCGACCGGAGAAGGTGGAGTGGGGGAAGATGCCTCTCTTCTCTTTACTCCCCACGCCATGAATGATTTGGAAATATTAAGACAGTTCAAGGCCATCAATATTTATTTTCTTTGAAGAGCAGCAGGTTTCCGTATTTCACCTTCTCCCAAAATCTCTTGGGATTCCAAACTTCCAGTCAGTAACCCCTGTTCAACAGTCACTTCCCAAAATGAAGAGGGAAAAATAAAAGAAATCAAACCAGAAAATCTACGCTGTCCCAAAAGGCATGGTTCGAACCTCCCTGTGAAACTAATGAGACGTTACTTTCCTCATAAAATCAAGCGAGGAATAGGGAAATAAAAGCAAAAAACAAAACAAAACTGGCCCTTTCAGGAAGAAGAAAACAAAGAGTGAAAGAAAACATTCCCCCTCAAAAATCCATCCCCCATCTTTCCTTTCCAGAGAGGCTGTGAATCTTTTTTTGTTTTTCTCTCTCGTTACATCTTCAAGTTATATGTGAAGTTTGGTGAGGATTGCATGTTCCTCTGTCCCTGTTTATGTCTGAGGTTGAGGAGAGGATGTTTAGGGTGTCGAAGGGGTGCGGGCGGGTTCGAGGGGAAGCAGCAGTGCTGGGTCAGGCTCTCCAGTGTCAGTCAGTGTCTTCTCTAGAGGTAAGGGTACTGGTTGACCTTGGTGGGGCTCAGCGGGTATCCAGTGTAGACAGTGGAGGCGGGCGAGGCGCTGATGTAGGCCTGGTGGGCAAACTGGGCCTGGTACTGACTGTGGTGCAGGGTGGGCGAGGGCAGCACACGGTGGCCCATGCTGACTGGGACCTGGTGGACGATGCTGGGCGGGTAGCTTCCGTGCTGGACCGCGTGGCGCGCCGTGCCTTGCGACGCCACCAGGTGGGCCACTGTGCCGGTGGAGCCCAGAGCAGCGGGGGCTGTGTAGGCGTAGAGGTGGGGCTGGCTAGGCAGGTGTGCGGCAGCCAAGTGCGGGTGGACGTTCCCCGTGTGAGAGGGGCTGTTGTGATGGAAGGAGTACGGGGCCTGAGTGGCGATGGTGGGGGTGATGTAGGCCTGTTGGCGCCGATGACCTCCGTTTCGCTCTGCTACCATGTGCTGCTGGGCCTGGAAAAGAAGATGACAGAATAAAACATCCCAAAATGTTGCACTACTCTGGTAAAACATGTTCCCAAGGTTGTTTACACACATCACACTGATTTTCATGTTTCTTTATACCTGGCTGAGATTGAGGGGCTGCTGCTGGAGGGGGTGTGGCCCTGAGCGCTGCTGTCGGTAGGACCCGCCTCCAGTGACGCCACCTGGTACGTGATTATTGCCAGACACCATATTGGAGGATTTGAACTTGTAAGCTGAATTATGATGGTTCATTGCATCTGCACAGGAGAGGACACAGGTTTGGTTGACTGAGAAGCAGCAGCTAACAACATAGTAGAAGGCATGAGGCTGGGTTTTAGGGTCAGGAAAGAGTTGGCGTCCTTTACCTGTCATCAGGCGCTCACATTCATTCGGGACCTCGCTGTTCTGGGTCTTGAGAGGGGGGATGATGATGGTGCGGGGGTTCCCGTTGTTGTAGTTGTCCAGTATGGTGGTCTTTGTGTCGTAGCTGTTGTTGTTGGGGGCTCTGGACTGCACAGTGTAGGGGCTGTTGCTGGAGCAGTCAGAGTCGGGCGAATCATGGACCGTCACGCAGCTGATGACATTCTTCCTTTGCTTTGAGGATGAGCTGGAGGAAAAAGAGGAAAGTAACTGAGAATGTTAAATAAATTCCAATAACTAGGAACACATTGGAAATGATATTTTAATTTTACTGTATCTATAATTATCAATCTTTGATCAGGGTGAGTTTCTCCCAAGTGAAGGATTTTGAGAATTTCGGGGTCCGGTTGCAAATGTGCTACCAGATTGTGATTGTGAAGAAGGAGCTGAAGCACAAGGGCTTTTTTTTAAAGCTTTCCTCCAACCCTCACCTATCACAGCGAGCTCTGGGAAGTGACCGAACAATTGACATTGTGAATACAAGCGGAAGAAATTAGTTCAGACATCTGGCAGCAGCTCAGAGTAGAACTGTGCTCCTTTGTGTCTAAAGGGGACAGTTGAGACGGTCAGGATGCCTCCTCTGCACCTTCCGTTGGTGGTTTACCAGACACAGCCAACCGGAAGGAGACCTGGGTTAGCCCAACAACTCGCAAGAGGGACGAAATATCTGGATCTGGATTACCCTACTTGACCGGCTACCTCTCAAGCTCGAATAAGCTGAAGACAATGGATGGATGGATCTTTGCTCGTATGTTCTGCATCAAAGTTTTCACACTGATTGAACATTCTAACATGAAAAAAAAATCTTGTTTTCTTTAGCAAGTTGTAAATCTTTTTTGCATTTGCTTGTTAACGTTCTGTCACTTCCCCTTCCCGCTAACATCTGACACCAATACTAACACATCGCACCAGTGGGGTGTTGTCACTGAGATATCATCATGTTTGTTCGACTAATTTTAAGACTCAAATCTTTTGCTGGAAAAGCCTACAGTATGTTATACACTATTTTGAAACCTAAAATGAAGTTCTCAGTATAGTTGGCATTGGTGGGAACATTTCTTTATCCTAAGTCAAAACAGATGAACGCATGTTTTTGCAAAGACTCTTTAGTCTTTATCTTAGCTGATCTAAGTCTGTAGCCCCTTGAGATGTAGTTATCGTAGTCATAGTAAAATGAAAAACACTGTTGAGCTCAAGTTGTGTATGACACACGTCCCATTAACAGACCGTTTGTTTTGTTTGTGGTCATCTTCCTCATCCGTGTCGCTGCTGATGGTGATGATGCTGACTGCGGGGCTGGGCGTGTCGGGGATGATGATGGTCTGTCTGGGGACGTGGTGATGGTGCTGATGGTCGCGGGTGGTGCTGGAGGCCTGCTCTGCTTCGCCAGCACCCCACCCGCTCCCGCCACATGGCTGTGGGGGCGGACAGTTGTTGGAGGCCGAGCCGTTCTGCAGCACGGCACAACGCGGGGGCGTGTTCTCCTTCACCCTCTTTGAGCGCTGCGGGGACAGCACCGCCTGCGAGGACGACACCTCATAGGCTGACATGTTCCTGACAGAGAGACAGAGATGGGGTGAAGTGAGAGAAGCTGAAGATCAAAAACCTTGTCAATCAAAACAAGACTTCATGATGTGTGATGATCTTCATCTGCCAGGATGATGATTTATAGTGAGACTGTTAAAGAGTACCTGGCAGTCATATGGTGCTGTTTGTTCTTTTTGGAAGAGGAGTTGTTATTGATCGAGTGCTGCCTCATAACATGTGCCACTCCCACATTAAGCGTCTGGTTGGATGGGAGTGTGACGTGTCCAGCCAACAAGGCTGGCTGCTGCATGATGGGATTATAATGGCTGCCATGAGGGTGGGAACTCCTGTAACAAAACCACATCAGAAACCTGTGAGTAAAGTATCACTGCAAGGAATACTAAAAAAAACACATTCATTCACTGTATCAGATCCAACACATTGAGTATTTCCCAAAGAAGCCAGTCGGTGGCAGCAGCCAACTTTTCTAAAGACGACCGAAGGAGGAGAGGGAGTGAGAGCAGAGAGGGAGGGCAGAGGAGCTGACACCAGCAGCTGTGGAGCGATAGCTCTGCAGAGGAAGTGCGACACTTTCCCGTCGCCTCTCAGAGGACAACAGAGCTGCCACTGGCCGGGGAAGGGAGGGAGAGGGATGGGAAGGGTGGTGTCTGGTCACAGATGGACAGCTCTGAATGTATCTGAGCATGCACGGACCCAGCAGCATTCAACATATTCACATTATATACCTGCATCCTCCTCATCTGCCTGCAGATTTCCCTCTCCCACCTATCCATCCATTTATTAAGTTGTCTCCCTGACAGGTTGTACTCCACATGATGTCTCTGCATATACATATATCCCATCTCCCTGAGGTAAAGCCGCTCTTATAAAAGAACCAGTGTTCACGTGGGGACTGTGATTCACTGAAGATAAAGGACAAGCTGTCAGGAAGGTACAGACTCCACAGTCAATCAGTTCGATGCCGTGCCATCTTCCTATAGCACATTTTGACCTATAAAGGCCATAAAACTACAGCTGGCCTTTGAAATCTATTTATCTGACAGAACACAACTACACACTTACCACTTACTGGATTATGTGACTTGGATTTACAAAGTGCTTTGGTTTTAAAATTACACGTGTCAACCTTTTAGAATTATTTATCCAGCTATATCTTGTGTGAAGAAGGGTGAGTCTAAAATACCGTAGACCACAATATTCAGACATCAAAGTATCGGTGATGGTTTAAACTGGCTGGGAGCAGGTTTTAAAAATAAAAACCAGAAAGGAAGCAGTGTTCACCTCCAGTTGGCGAGAGGCTGTGTGCTGCTCATGGAGTCGGGGATGACAGTGGCATGCTGGACTGAGGTGTGGGTGAGCTGCTGCCAGGCTGGAGGCAGCAGGATCTGCTGGGTGCCGCTGGGCCAGGCCTGCTGAGGAAGGACAACACAGAGTGGGGGACGGACAAAGAGGGGGAGAGGACGAGGGAGGGAGATTCAAAGGACAGAAAGAGGAGACACAGAAAATAGTCAGCTGCCATGTGACAAAATAGGAATTTTATCAATTTGTTACCTCTAGCTACACATTTTCATGAAACCTGGTGGAGGGATGGGACATGGGCTAAGGAAGAACCAATACACTTTTGGGGTGGATCCAGACAAAAGGGCATTTTTTTTGTCACACGAGATATTGTGGGGCATTTTTTTCCCCAACAATTCTCTACAGAATAATTCACAGATTCCGCTGAAAAAAATCATATTTATGGACTGTGATCCATGAGTGTGCAGCTTGATTGAATTTAAAAGGACTGCTGGGTGTTGGCAGGAGTACACGATCTACTGAGTGCCGTTCTACTTTCCTCGGGACTGCACATGACCATGATTGATTTTTTTTACAATCAAAATGTGTGAAGAAAAGAAACTCATTGAACCTGACTGATTGGTTTGAGGGTGTTCTGATAAATGACTGTATCTTCTCAAAAGTGCGTAAGAGCTGGTTTAAACTTGCTAGTGGGCATGCGAAATGAACTCCGCCAGCTTCAAGGAGACATTCATCGACAAAAGAGATAAGAGCAAAACTTAATAAAGATGTAGTGCAGCTCCTTTCTTTGTGTGCTTGTGTATGAGTGACGGAGCCTAACGCTTTAAGTGTGTGTGTCTCTGCCAGCTACTGTGATTATGCGTTGGACTTTAGTCAAATCAACCTATATTCTAATTAAATCCATCGGCCCATTCAAGCTGCTGTGAAAGAAGCTACTTTGTATTTCTGATGCGGCACGGGAGGAGTATCTGGCATAATACGCCCGGAGATGTGCCAGGATGAGTGTGTGTGTGTG